TCACCCCGGACCCGTACACGCCCTCGCCCGCCGCATGGCGCGATACCCGCACGGACCGGCCGAGCCTGCAGCGCCGTGCGCGGCTGCTCGCGCCCGAGGCCCACTTCTCGTACGTCGCGCCCTGTCCCGTCGCGTTCCCGTACCGCGTGGAGTACTCGGAGGACGCGGATGGAGAGGCGCAGGTGAGGGCCGTGGAGGACTGGATGGTCGCGCGGGAGGCGTTGCGCGAGGTGCCTGTGGCCGCGGGTGTGGGAGAGTCAGTAAGAGGCGAGGAACTCGGAGGACAGGGAGGGGGGAGGCTGAGGAAGTACGTCTCGGAGAAGAGGGACGAGGAGCGCGTGCTGATTGGGTTGGCGGAGACGGGCTGGAGGGACTGTGTGCCGCACTTGGACGTCGGGGATGCGTTTGAGCTCCTTGGGAACCCGTCGCTCTCCGTGCCAGCTGGGCAGGATGCGGGCGCAGGTGCGAGCGATGCGAGCGAGGAGGCCGTGGCGGCGCGGAAGGAGCTTATTGACGTGCTGAGTGGGCATGCGATGTTGATGCATGGGGAGGGGGAGGATGTGCAGACACATTGGGCACCGTGGTCTTTGCGCTATAGCGGGCATCAGTTCGGGACGTGGGCAGGACAGCTGGGCGACGGTCGCGCTATCTCTCTTCGTGAGTCCTCTCGCGCGGTGTTCAGAGAGATTGTCCTCACTTCTTTCGTAGTGAGTACGCCACACCCGGACCAACCGGACATTCATTACGAGCTGCAGCTCAAGGGCGCAGGGCGTACGCCCTTCTCGCGCATGGCCGATGGATTGGCCGTACTTCGCTCGTCCATCCGCGAGTTCCTTTGCTCCGAAGGTACGTCTCGAGGCTAACCGACATACGCAAGCTCCACAGTGTGCATCATCACTGACATTCTCCTAGCCATGCATGCCCTCGGTATTCCAACAACCCGCTCGCTCGCCCTCATCTCCCTCCCCAAGCTCCCGGTCGAGCGCGAGCGGGTCGAGTATGCCTGCGTGCTCACCCGCATCGCGCCCTCGTTCATCCGCATCGGCTCCTTCGAGGGGCTCAACCCGCCCGCGCAGATGTTCTTCCTGGGGGGCGGGCAGCAGCCCAGCAACCTGGACGCGCTGCGCGTGCTGGGCGAGTGGGTCGCGCGCAGGGTGCTGCAGCTACCTGATATCCGATGGCGCGGAGAGCCTGGGCTGGGCGGACCGGGAGATGCGTGGGGCACGAAGCTCGTGCTGGAGGTCGCGAGGAGGAATGCGAAGATGGTCGCGGGGTGGCAGGTGTATGGGTTCATGCATGGGGTCATCAATACCGACAAGTGCGTGTGGCCATTCCGCGGGATATCTGGATGCTGATGTGCTCGCAGTGTCTCGATCATGGGCTTGACCATTGACTATGGTGAGTATTGCCGATAGTTGTGGTTCCCCCCATTTGAAACTCTCTGAAACTCTGCATGCAGGACCGTACGCGTTCATGGACGTATTCGACTCGTGGCATATATGCAACCACAGCGACGCGGAAGGCCGGTACGCGTACAAGGTAATGTGCTTGTGCCTTGCGATAGTTGAGAGTGGCTGACCTGCCTACCCCAGTATCAACCTGCTGTGATGTGAGTCTATCTTTCATACGCCTCTTCGACAACTGACGTATATTGCAGCATACACGCACTACGGTCACTCCTGAACTCCCTCGCACCGATCATCGGCGCTGAGGATTCGCTCGGGGGCAAGGCTGTCTCACCAGGCTGGGCGGAAGACGCGTCAGAAGATAAGATCAAGGAGTGGTCCAAGCGCGGCATCGAGCTCGTCAAGGAAGAGATGGAGCGCGTCGCAGAAGAAACCTGCGCTGTCGAGTACGGCCGGCTCATGCACAAGGTGCGTCCTGACGCTTGCTCCCTGTCCTCCGTCAGTGAATTTGACCAATCCGACACACGCATATAGCGACTGGGACTCCGCCGCATAGACAAGGACGATGAGTCAAAGCTTGCCCGCCCGCTCCTGACGATAATGGAGGACCACAAGCTCGACTTCCACGGAACCTTCCGCCGGCTCTGCTTCTTTAGGCCGTCCATTGCGTCTTCCGAGGACGACTTGAAAGCCTTCATTGACAGCCTACTCACCCTTACCTCCGAGCCCGAGAGACTGGATCGCATCAGGGCGCAGACTGACTGGTCTGGCTGGCTTAGGCGGTATGCGGCGCGCATCGAGAGCGAGCGGGATCTCTGGGGAGCGGATGCGGATGTGGACGCGGAGAGGGAGAGGGAGGCCAAGCTTGCGAATCCGCGCTTCGTGCTGAGGCAGTGGGTGCTCGAGGAAGTCATCAAGAAGGTGGAGACGGACGCGGAGAGCGGCAAGCGCATCCTGAGGAAGGTTCTGCATGTGAGTGTCCTTCGTATACGTGTCCGTTTCGCGCTGGGGAACACATCTCATGCCCTCGATTCAGATGGCGTGCAACCCGTATGAGGCATGGGGTGCCGAGGGACAAACTCAGGATGAGAGTCAATTGGACACAGAGACTCGGGAAGAGCGACGGTACTGCAGCATGGGCGAGAGGAAGCTGCTGGGCTTCCAGTGCAGCTGTTCCAGTTAAGTGAGAGACAGAGTATCGCGAAATAAGAATAGCCGACTTGGAGGCAAGACATTCTTGATCATTATTCGTTCCTTCGATACAAAGTACGGGAGGACAGTAGTAGGGCATATGCACCTTCACCAATCAATATGCATACCGTGGAAACACTCCCAAAATGCTTTGTTGCATCAAGGGTAAGTCGAGCTACGTGAAACAGCTTGAACTGTAGACAGACACGCTGGGCCTGTGGACCCTCCCCCCATCTGAATGCGAGTCAACGTTCAACTCAGCGCTATCGTCGGCGGCGCTGCAACATCAGGAAGGATGAAGGCCCACGATAGACAAGAATAGTGTAGTCCCCACAGCGATTTTGAACACTCAGACGCATCTATGGCTAGGAGAATCCGTAATCGTGTGATTGACTCGAAGTTTGTGCCGCGCTTCGCTCATGTATCGTACCTTGGCTTCATCAGGGCGAGAACGGCATAGTCTGGATGCAGACGTCCGAGCAGTAGAGTACATTGAGTTTCGTTCCGAATCGAGACGTACAATACATCCATCCTTGTCCTGTCTATGCCTAGGTTGCGCTGCCGAAGATCTGATAGCGTCTGCAGATGCTGGGACCAATCTCGTCGTACTGCGCCTTCGTGTGGCAGGACGAGTAGAATTCGGGCTAGCATAGAGCATGAGGATCGGCAATAATATCACAACACCAGCATATCACTCACCAGAGACGCGAGCAGCGAACCACCGAACCATACGGCGTAACTGAGAGAAAACATGACCTTCTCGTTCAGGTATATGCGAGAGGAGGATGAACATACCGTTGACGCTTGTGCGAGATAACATCGACTTCAACCCCAGATGACTGCATATGCGGTAAGACGCTGAGGAACAGCTGATGGGAGTATGGTACTCACCCGAAGATGACTGCCGCTTGCCACAACGCTGGCATCCAACCGGCGGTCCACAATCTGCTTCAGGTCGCGCTTGAGACGGTTGCCGAAGTGTTGGAACATGGTGGAACCGCCGGAGAGTACAATGTTCTGGAGAGAGGTTGGAACAGAGCGAGGACAGGGCAGTGGAAAGCACGGACCTTGTAGAGTCCTCGACGAACGTCAATAGGTGACTGCTGGATGACACCATCCACGATTTCAGGGAGTGGGGTCAAAAAGTCCGACGAAAAGATCTCGGGGTTGAAGAAGATTTCAGGAGCAAGGAAACGTTCGTATCCGACGTCGATCTCGTATTTCTGTAGAGGCGTCATTGAACACAGACACAAAGCTTCAAGCATGTCCATGAACATACCCGTCCAGTCACAGTGTGCTCGCCCTCGTAGCGCGCGAAGTACTTATAAGGTTCCTGGTCGTATTTCCTGAACTCCTTGACGATGTCCTGGCAGACGTAGCTGTACTGCTCCTTGACCTTGCTTGCGACCTTGAGGTGGTCCTCAGGAGGGACGTTCACCATCTCTCCACGCTCACGCATGAGGTTCAGCACGAACTGGGTGATGTCGCGACCTGCTATGGGGATGTGCTTGATGGCACTGCCAATGACGTACCCCTCCGCGCAAGGAATTACGTGCGTAACACCATCTCCAGAGTCAATGACGGTACCCGTGAGCGTGCGGTCAGTAACGCGATTGGAGGACCACGATGCGGCGAGGGCGAGGACCGCCTGTACCGCGATGTAGAGACCCTTGATATTGAAGGACTCGAAGAAGATCTCTGCGGTCTGCTCACGGTTCTCTGGGGGGTTCAATGGGGGCTCCGTCTGCGTAGTACATGGAATCGGGGAAGATCAGACACTGCGCGCGTGCTGCGCTGCACGCAGGTAACAGGAATACGCACTAAGAGGAAGTAGTGGTCCTCCGGCTCCGCACGTAAGTACTTGAAGATCGTCTGCTCCCAGTATCGCTCCATGTAGTCCCAGTTGTCGATCTGACCGTGGCGAATGGGGTAGTTGATTCCATAACCGGGTGTCTGTGCATTGGCAAGGGCCTCGTCGCCGATGAAGAAGTCGAGGTCCTCAACGCCGCGCTTGGATGCGAGATGACCAGGCTTGGACGGAAGAGCCGGTCCTGTGCGACTAGGTTGTGCGGCAGGTCCACGCGTTGCTATCGCGGTGGGGAAGACACTGAAGTAGAATGAGGAACCCAATGGCGTAACGCGAGTCGGGCGCACTTACAAGGATGGATCGGAGTTCCCGGCATAGCTTTGATAATTTCAGTCCCAGTAGCAAGCCCATGTACTGCTATGCACGTACCCAACCTTTGAGAAACCAGTACCGTTGTCACAGATGATCGGCGCGAGGAGGGACATCGTCGTTCAGTGCAGAGCGGGATGCAAGCATGCGCTCAGTACAGGCGCGAGCGCGCTCAGACGCCTCGAGGATTGCGCAGTCCAGATATACATAACAAGCTTGTGCATCATGGGTCGGTGGCGTAGTTGGTTATCGCATCTGTCTAACAACCATCTACATTGGTGCACAGAAGGTCCTCAGTTCGAACCTGGGCCGACTCATTTTTTTCTCTCTCCCCCAGGCCGGGACCAACATACGGTTGCCTCATTCTCCCGAATGTAACTGTAGCTCGACTACCTCACACTCCAAAACTCGCACAGCGATATGATAAGTAGTACAATAATATCACAGCGATCACAAGCTCTGACTGGTGCTGATAGCAGCCTCCACCCCAACTGTACGCTGCTTCGCCTGGGCGAGGTCTCAGGTCTTTGCGATAAGAACCAGAGACGTGCGAGCGTGCACTCACCTCTTCCATAAGGTCATTCTCGATGACAGGGAGTGTCTCCAGTGGTTCATCGTTCCATGTCGAAACAGTCCAGCGGTTCGGCGGATTCTCCACGTAGAGACAGATTTCTTCCGGTATATACTGGCCATGCTCTGCCTGGAACTCAGCCCGGAGCAATCGCTCCTCTGACGGCGCAAGTGTCAGTCGTTTATGGCAAGGGTAAAGGAAAGCAGTAGTACCTTCAGTCATAGCATCGAGTTGCGCTGTCATGGTCGCTACGATCCGCTGTGCGGCTTCCCGATACTGGCGGCGACGCGCCAGTTCCAAGACTAACTTGTTGTATGCATACTGGTAGGAGGTGTACTGGTGATGCAGTTCCTCCAGCGGCCGGAGTTGCGCATGGAGGTAGGAGAGGTGGTCCATGCTCTCGTTCTGCAAGTTACGTCAGGAAGAATGTGGAAAGTAGTATGTGGATTGGTGGTACCTCGACACTCTGTTGTCTCTCGAGCATCTCTGTCATGATGTCGCCGAGCTCATCGAGATCAGTAAGCGTTCGTCTGTGCACCTCGAGATGCTCCTGCGCTGCCGTCTTCGCTGTCAGTAATTGTTCACTAAAACCTGAACGTAAGTGGCCTGAAACACGTTATAATTTGACAAAACTGACTGGAATCCCTCAATAGTCTTCATGCTACTCTCCAACTCTGAGATGATGACGGGAAGTGCTTCTGCATCCTGGTTCATGCCTGTGAACTATGTGATTAAGACACAGGCAAGGTCAGGTCGGCATATTACCTTGCATGTCTTCCTCTCCGAACTCCTCACCCTCCTCAAAGTCGTGCAGGGCATTCGACATATTGTTATAGTGATGGGCAAGCGACTCAAGTTCCTCCGCCATCTTCGTCGAGGTCGCTTCTTCCGACGCGAAGATCTCGTTGAAGGAAGGCAACGAAATCTCCGCTGGGACCATCTCCTTGATAGCCCCAATCGTCTTCGAGAGAGACTCAGGATAATCTGAGGTCGTCGCGAGGATGTCCTGAATCGCGGTAACCCATTGGATGTTGTTCGACAAAACGGAGAGAAGTACGCACATCAAGCTCCAGCCGGTCCTTCTCGATCGTGTCTAGCAAATCCTCAATAGCACGCTCATTCACGAAGTCGCGCAAGGTCTTCCACCGACTCCGGTCCGCCCTCCTCCTCTCCCTGCGCTGCTGTCTTCGTAGCGCGGGCGATCGAGTGCGTATCGTGTCGGTAGGGCTCATCCGTGGACTCGTGCTCGGCGGAGGACCGAACGGTGTGCTGTCATCCTGGGCAAGGCGTTCTCCTTCTTGCTCATCGTCGGAGTTGTTCTGGCTGCTGAACGGCGAAGAATCCGCAGAGACGGTGTAGAAGTCGGGAGGAACCGACTGCGTGCCGAGAGACTCTAGCACGGCGTCGAGCGCGTCGGTGCGTTGGTTGCGGATGTTGTCCCACTCCTGGTGGCAGATAGGGCGTGACTATGTGCACAAGGTAAAGCTTGACGACACGTACCTCGACTTGCTTCTCGAGCTCTGAACGTTTCTGTTCAATACTCTTGGCCACTTGGGCAGCAAGCTGGAATGGTTCGTGGTTGATCGGGATGTGGACGCAGGGGTCTAGAAGACGCGATGGCGACATACCTGGAGTTGGTCAAGCACGGCTTCAGACATCCATTTAACCTGGGCATCCAGTGCCAATACATCCACCGTTATCTGTGCAGATGCGGCAGAGACTGAGCTAGCGTGTAGACATAGTTCTTGGCCTTGTTGGAGTGCCTTCTTGGCTTGGAGGACGAGCTCGACGATATGCGGTTGCTCTTGCTGATCAGGTGATGGAGACATTAGAACAGCGTCAAGCCTCCGACAGAGGGTTGGTGAAAGTCAGTGCGAAACAGGTAGTGGAGCTGTAGCTTGTCACGGTTCTGGGCCATGCCAACGCTCGCCCCGGCATATCGGTCCGGAGGCAGTGCCAGTCCCTACGCTAACACGCCTCTTACTCAACTTTCAAAGAACACTCTCCGGTCCGCTGGCAAGCTAACAGGTGGCCACGAGATATACAGTATATGAATCATCGTTGCACCAGCATCGTTGACATATCCCTGCTCGCTACAACATGCACCCTCCCCTGACCCCGAACGCCATATACGCCGCTCTCTATTGGCGCACAGACGGAAAATATCACTGGGCGTTGATTGTAACAGACAGCTCTGTCTCTGGGAAGAAGCTACATGCCACCAACCTCGAGGATCCTACGACGTGGCGCTATGCCAGCGATGACTTCGATGTATCCGCTGAGTGGAAGCCCTTGGTAATTCTGGCTCAGATAGGTGAGCTCTCCATCTATCTCATCCGTACCTACAGATACCTGATCTCAAAGCAAACGTTGGTTGGCAGGAGTGGCATCGGAAGGCACCTCTTCCGTTGACGACATCCTCCGGATGATACCAATGGCGACACCCGCCTGTGACTCCCCGCATCCATTCACATGCCGTATATGGTTTCGCGAGGCCGTGCGGGTCTTAATTGCGCAGGGCATGGTTACGTGTCGTTCGGTGGATGCACTCGAGAAAGAGTTGACTCTGCTTGCAGACGATAACGGGAATTCTGTTGCTCTTGGCCGCCCGTGGAAGCTGCATTCCGACGTTGATTCTGTATCATGATGTTATACTGTAATTCGTACGATGAATGATTGTTGTAGCTCCCGTATGTGCATTGTGTGGCGCGCTGACTGCACCTCCAGCGAGGATGAGCGTCCCCCCGTGCCCGCTTTTTTCAGCACCGCGTTGAAACATTGGAGCTCGCAAAATAGAGAACTCAACGCCAGGCGCGACCTTGATGACGGCCGCAGCTGCAGCAATGTCGGACGCGCATGCAGCATGGTTGATGCGGCAATGAAGTTCGGGAGGGGGACCAGGGATGGGGGCCGAGAGGCCGGGAGACTCGAAGAACGTAGTACGCTCCCAGTTCAACGTGACATGATCCACCGAGAACACGCCTGCGAGCGCACCCCGATCGCTCACGTTGGTGATTGTACTTTGAACTTGAAGCCCGTCGTCAACGGAGAGCGCAGAGACGCTGTCGCTTGTGAACTTGAGACGCTGAGCGTGTGGGAGAACGCGTAACCCTCCTTGACGAGCACTTGCAGCACTTCGCCATTCAGAAGTAGTGGCAGGCTCTGCTGTTGACAATTGCTCACTGCTAGGATGTAAATAACTTTCCGATCGCAATTTCGCGCACACAATGTCGGGTGGCACGCAGCATGAATGGAGAGATGTCAACGAGCATGGATTGCAACGCAGTCGACATCAGCAACGCACAGACTCTCAAACAACCGTAGTCAAATGGCACGAACAACCATGTTGCCTCTCGACCGCCTCTCAACCTCCACCCCATCTACGCAAGGACCTCGACGGCAGGGCGCTCAGCAGCGCGGCGCGCGATACGAGCGGCACGGGTACCCTGCACGACCCCAACATCGTCAGCACAGCACGAGATTTAACGAGCGAGACAGGACGTACAACAGACTTGTTCGCGTTGTTCTGGCGGAGCGATTCCAGGAACGCCTTGAACTTGGCGGCCTGGGGGTTCGCCGCGGCTTGCTGAGCCTGGTTCGCCTTGTTGCCCTTGTGCTTCTTGCCGGTGGTGGTCGTGGTTGAGGTAGCGGCCGCCGCTGCGGATGAGGCCGAGGAAGCCACAGCGGTGCCGTTCGTGCCAGTAGTGTCAGTGCCGGACGCACTCGTGCCCGCTGCAGCGGTGCCCGCGGCGGCGGCGTTGCCACCGGCGGCAGCCCCCTGCTGGACGACGACGCAGTTACCGAAGCCGCCAGCAGTTTTGAAAGTGACGAGGCACTTGTCCCCGGTCGCGCCGCCGGTGCACGTCGTCCCGGCGGGCATCTGGACGACGAGCTGAACTGAGCCAGTCGTCTTGGGGCTCTGTCGTGTACGCAACCGTAATGAGACTGGATAACCACACATGGCACGGGTCAAAGACGCACCTTCACGCCATTCTGGAGGACCTCGGCGTTGACAAAGGACTTGCCTGTGCCCGTAGCATCAACCTGCGCGGTGACCTGCGTCGAACCGTCGGTGCCCCTGCCGATTGATTTAGTGCACGATCGAAGGATAATAGCAAAGAACGAGATACACACGCGTTGAAGTTGGTGATGGTGGCAGCGAACGAGCCGTTCGCAGCCGCCGTCACAGCGGTGGACGAATCGATGGTCTGCGCAATGTTGATTTTACCGCAGGGCTTTGCCGTCGACGGACGTTGGACGTCACTCCTGGCCGGAGTACCCTGGACACCAAGGGCGGGGGAAATGGCGGCGTGCGCGTGAGCCTGGAGGGACAGGCTCAGGCAGAGCGCGGCAGCAGCAACGAGGCTCTTCGGGAAGAACATAGTTCCAGACTTTGGGTGGAAGGAATGTGAAGCACAAAGAGAGCGGAAGGAGTCTGAGAAGAACGGCTGAAAGAAAACTTGAACTTGGGGAATGAGCAAAAAGCAAGAACAAGGGGGAATGCGTCCAACAGACTACGGCTGTGATGAGGATCCGGCCTCGGTGCGTTGCAGGAAGTGCAAGTGGGGAGTCTCCTCGATGCATGGGACGCCTCTATTTAACGGCCCCGGCTCGGCTATTTCCCCGCATCCGCGTTATCCTGTATTGTACGGGTCTATTCCCGGGTTTTCTGGCGGGCTTCTGCTCAGAAAGGTTACACGAGGTTGCTATGGATGACTGCTAAATATGCTCACCATCTCGCCACAA